CTGCATCTAGGCGGTCCTTAGCTAGAAATACGCAAACATCAAATGTCATGCATAAGGAAAAAGGTAAGCATCATTTGTACATTACTTACCAGCGCATGATGCAAAAAGCACAGAAGTCTTGCTATTAAATTCTATAATATGCATTCTTGTTTAGATTTTCATGTATGTGCTAGCAAAATGATGATTTACTGCGTTGCTAAGCTTGAACAGGATAGCCATTCTCAAACTCGTGGTCTCAAGGAATGAATTATTTGAAGTTGAAAGATATAACAGAAAAGATTGGCTTAAGTTTGATGAAAGAATTATTTTGTAAAAAAGTAAGACTAATGTTAGTATAAGGAAGAGAATGAGGTACGTTTACACTACAGAGTGCATATTACTTCTTATTGAAGTCAGGAAAATTGAAGACTAGTGTGAGACCATTAGTGCAATTTTGGGGTAGGTGATTTGCTATAAGTCCTAATTTTTCTAGGCATGTATAGCCTTTTTTTTTGGGTGGGTGGGTGTGTGTGTGTCTAATATTGATATCGTATTAGATTGATGAGCTCTGGAAGATCCTTATGGCTGAGAAGTTTCTCCCTTTTACCACTGCGAAAAAATATTAAGATTGAGTGACATTGTCTTTCTGTGTATTGGTCAAGGCATAACCTCACTTTTCTTCTCACTATTTATCATGGTTCAATGACTGCTCACTCCAACTTCACTTGTGTAAAGATGGCCTATTTTAAGCCTTTTGCCCCCTCTTTCCAGTGTCAGCTAAGAGTGAACTGCAAACAAACCACATGACTAGCTGATGAATGAATTTTAGCAAGCTCAGTCCTGCCTTTTGATGGACTATGGCCTATGGCATTTCAAATGTACACAGTCTTTATCTTTTGAATTTTATGTATCTAATTATGCAAAGTCTATTAGAATAGGAAGCATCTATCTCTGCTGCACAACTCCAGTATAAATTCACTACATTTACAGTGAGGGTCTGTTTTCTTCATCTTCTTTAAGCAACCTAATACTTGTTCTTGTTAGGATTAGACCAGACCAAATATTTATGTTTGCTTATTGCCAATTATTTGCAAGTCTGATCTAATTCTAATCAGACGCTTAGGCCTTTAAAAAATTCCGAATTCTTTATTTCAAGTGAAAAGACTGTAGCCGAAATCCCATTTTCCTGGCGTTTATGTTAGTGACCTCCATTTGACAAAGATCTCCCTTATGCCTCTCTATTTCAGTGAGCCAAAACCAATATTTATGTGTAAGCACGGTTCCTGTAAGTAATTATGTATGCATACTATCTTGTAACTATAAAGTTGAGTTAATTTTTTCTTTTTTCTATGTTTTATTTTTAATATTTGCCTGATTTACAATGGACTTGCTTTTGGTTGTTAAGTTTGATTATGCCTTGTTAAATGGAGGAATGAGTTTAAGAAAAGTTCCATCATTCATGTTTAGTTAAATAAAAAGGTGCATCCAATTTGCTGCAGATAAGATTGTGATTTATATGGATTATCATGGAATATCATAAAAGAAAGTCTTATTAAGTAATCTACCGTCTAGCTCGGATTTTTGAAAATCTGTATCGTCTTGTAGCTTTTGCTTTTCTGCTGCAAAATGTACTACTTAATCCCATATTCCCAAGTGCTCAACTTGTCTTCATGTGCGTTTTCTAGATGAATCTGCACGGGAAAGTCCGACTGCTAAGCGCGTGACTTTTGGGAAACTTCCCAAGCCTGCTGCTCAGAGAGACAATATCAATTTAGGCCATACTTCTGCGCAGTTAGGTCAGCGTTTGTCTGCTGTAAGTTCAGGTACGTTGACGCTTGGGCAATTAATTTCTGATCAAGTCAGATGATTTAAGGATGAAGACTTATTATGTTGTTTCATCAAGATTTTCCTACTAAATGTGCTCAGTAAGATACAACCAAAACCTTTCTTTTGCTACTATACAACCAAAGCATGGCCAACTTCTTGATTCTTTACCTATATCATTCTTATAGTTTATTTTTTTAGCTAGCTGTTGCATAATTTATCTTTCTCAACTTCTTGACCTTTGTTCCAGATGGATGTGCACAGCAATTTGGTACAAACACTCCAGCTGCTGAGCTTTTGCCGAATAAAAAAGTTTCTAGAACTGATATAAACTCAGTGGATACTTCTCAGTTAGTCCATACTTTTCCTAATGTAACATCGGGTATGTCTATGGAAGTATGTATATTAATTGTTTGTCTATTACCCAGGTGCATTTGGCTTCTTAATTTTAACCAAATCAGGGAATTTGTGTTCAAAATGCTTATTATAAAAGTCACAATCAGTTCTCTCTGAAAGCTTTTCAGTTGTGATAATATACATAAGCATTGTGCCGAGCTAAGCTTGGCCTAGTGGAAAAGAGAAATTCCCAACCTCAAGGTTGGGGATTTATTTCCCACTAGTGGCACTTTGGGAGAGGGGAACCCCTTACCCTTTCCCCCACTCCCAAAGTGTCTAGCCAGCTAACCCCGGCCTGGTTTACTGCATTTGTTGCAAAACATATGTCCTCAAGTTGTAGTGCTGTACAGCCTGCACTACTCTCCAGACTGAATTTCTCATAGTTTAATATGTTTGATCAGGAATGGATGTTTGTATTGAGGCTTGGAATAAGAAAACTGATCCTAAGGGGAGGGAGTCTCCAAAAGTTACAATGGTGTTTGATAGCCATCTTCCTAACCATCCTGCAATGTCCCCAACATGGAGGTGATATACACTTTGCTTTGACATATTGAAGATTTTCGCAGTTTCAATTTGGAGCAGTTTTTGTGAGGGTGCACTGACTATTGATTTCATCCCTGCAACATGTTTTTACATGAAAAGTATATAATCTCTTAAATTTGCGCGTTAGTTTGATGAGGCACACGCTTCACATCTGTGCTTTGCACCTAGGCACTAAAGTCCCTGTTATCTTGTGCTATGAACTTTTTCAAACACAGATTAGGAAAACATATGCACCCTAAATATATTTGGTACGACCCTCATTCCCGGTGGAAAAAATTGGAGAATTTTCTGGCTCTTCCCAGTGTATACAAGAGTGCAAATTATTCAACATTGCAGTAGTCAAATTTAGCAGAAGCTACCAGATTATAGCTTATATATGCTGAACTGTAAACATTGTCACTTACCTGACTTTCCTTATTCTCTCTATTCTGACTTTTGAAATCTTGTTTGCTTTGACAGGGGAACTTTTCAGATCACAAATGATGTTGGGCTTTGTAATATTTTTAATGACATTCAAGCACATCCTCCTTGTAAGGTTCATAGGAAAGTGTACCAGGTGTCGAAACAATTTCCCAAGACACTTGCATTAAACATGCTGCCTCAAAGGAATTATTGGGTGGATATCTTTGAGGACAATGTCCCTGGTGAGCTTCACATTGGCCTATATTTTCTCCCTCCTAGGCTGTCCAATATGAATGGAGGTTTGCCTGCATCAACTTGTGACCTTGAGCAAAGATACTATTCCCTTTTGGACTATCTTGATGAGCATGACTATCTCTTGAGAACAAGCTTTGATGAAGTGGAGCTGATTATTTTTTCCTCTAAACATTTGCCAGAAGATTCTTGCAGTAAGCTTTGCCCTTACTCTTTAAACTTGTATTTTTGACAACTTTATGTCTCCAACTTAATGTTATTATTTCTGTTTCCTTGTGTAACCACAGAAATACATCAGAAGTCTTTCTTGTGGGGAGTCCTCCGTCCTTCTGTGGCTAAATTAGGAGCATCCAAGACGACTATTCCTGCACAAAACTCTGAGGTGACAGACGAGATCACCGAACTGTCAAGAACAAAGTCTTTGTCGGCGAGGGATGATGCTGTCCATTCTTCATACAGCCAGCAAGTACAGCAGCCAATGTCAGAAGAGCATGAAGCTGAAGACATGGTTGTAGATATGCTAGGAGGAAGCGAATTGGATAACATTGACATTGTTGTTCCAAAACCCATTGTCAATTCATGTGACGACCACATAAAGAGTGAGTTAGAGGCAGGCAGCGAGGTCAAAGCATTGCCAAAGAGCACAGGGGAGTTAGTAATTGAATTCTCTCCAATCAAGATTGAAAGAGAGTGGACTGACAGCAACTTGAAGGCAATAGAGGACGCTGATTTGGAATTTGAGAAAGAATTGCAAAAGAGTTTTGATAGATTTGCTGCATTGATGGAAGTGAAAGACGCTGGCAGTTTTGTAAGCAAAGTCAAAGAAGAGGCTGATGCCCAAGAGCTGCTACTCTAAGGGATGAGCGTGATAGCATCATGTGTAATTACACAGTGCACAGTTTAACTTGTTAACAATTAGGCAATACCAGAAATGTACAGCATACAGGAAATTAGTGAGCTACTTTAGAAATCAGTGTAGATATAGGACAGAAACAGCTTGGTTTCCACAGAAAAGAAGTATGGGGGATTGCTTTACTAAGGGCGAAAATCCTTTTTTTTTTTTTTGTTTCTTACATCATACAAGTATTTTTCATGTGGGAAATGGAATTGTGTTCGTTTTAATTTTTTTTTCCTGCGTCATTTTTCCCTCCGTTTGGTAGAATCTTAACTCATACAAACTTGAAATTTAAAGTTTGGATCACACGGAGTTGTTATTTTAGAGGAGAAATGATTGAACCTTGAATGTTACGTACATCTAAGGAATTCGCTTACATTTTTCACTTTGTTGAGGTAGCAAAAAGAAGGGAAAGGAGGGAAGGGGTAGGTTTTTTTTTTTTTTTTTTTTTTTTTTTTTTTTTTTTTTCCAATTTTAGTTCAATTCAAATCCTTAAGTGTTAAAATGACCCTCAAAATATTACACGAACAATTGTCACGGCTACAATAAATAATAACATGCAAATCAATGCATTTCGTGACGCCCAAACAAGGCCTTTGCGCTATTTTTTCTTCTTCATAAACTCTGAAATTCATGTAATACATAAAAAGACGATGAGAGGTGAATACGAAGTAGTATAAAAGTTAAACTAGGTGAAGTAAAAAAGAACGGAGGAATTACTCTATAATTTAACTTACCCTTGTAGTTTTACACCGTGTTTAAAATAGGACAACGGGGTAGATTTATTATTATTTTTTTTTTCTACGTATACTGGGAATCCTTCCAAAGAAACTTAACAATGGCAGCGCCTGGAAAATGCATATTGGTTTCAGGTGCCCCAGTAAGTAACACTTCTTTTTTTTTTTTAATCATTTAAATTTCATCAAATTATGAGCTTAAATTAAATATTTCATCAATTCTATTAAATTCTTGTTCTATGATTATCAGGGTGTAGGAAAAACAACTTTAATAATCAGAGTATTGGAAAATCTGAGAGCTTTAAACCCCAATTTGAAGGTCCAAGGTTTCTATACTCGTAAGTAATTCTATCCAATTATGCTACCCTTTTCTGCAAATTTTTGATTGAAAGTAATAATTTTGATTAATATGAAACTTTTTTAACATTGAAATGATTGTGTATTTGGGAAGGTGAGATTAGGCAAGGAAATGAGAGGGTTGGTTTTGAGGTGGTAACTGTGAATGGTCAAAGAGGTACCCTTGCTTCTATTAACAATCCCAGGTACAAACTTTACCAACCCTTTTAAATTTGTGTGTGTAGACTGATATAATGTCGGGTAATGATGTAGACGGTATTTGATGACATGTTCTAGGATTCGTCCCAAATGACTTTAATCAACTAAGCTGGTTCGCATTCTCAGGGGCTTTTGAACAATTTTTGTGATCTTATTCCCAATTGTGACAATTGAATGGTTATATTACAGCTATATGCTCAATATTTGCAAGTTAAGGGTTTTGAATGAGAATAATGTCAGATCATTCTTCATATAAAAAGGGATTTTAGTCTAGTTTATTACGGAGTCAGTTATCATCACCATGTCAAATTGAGTTTGTGAACCCAGATGGCCAAATGAGATGTATAATATGGGGTTCTATATCTTCATATTTGGTGAATTTCCCTTTTTATGATGAACTTTGGTTTGAATATGTTGGGGTCTTTCATTGCTTGATATTGTTTGAATTTCAACATGAATGCCTTCTTGATTGTTTGAATATAGACTCAAATTCCTGTAATTTCGAAAGCATGCAATCATCTGTGAATTGGTGAAACAGTTGTATGGACATTTCACTTATAATTATTACCTATGCGCGATTCTCAGTTGTAGATGAAAAGGATAACAGTTTCTGTGTTTTCCGACTTCCTTGTGAAATGATTGTTTGTTGGGAATTATACTTTGCCTCTCCTCTATCCCACCAAATGATATAGGAATTCGAAGGATACAAACTGGTAACCCATAAGCCCAAGCAGGGTAAAACAAGAAATCTCTTTTTTTTTTGTCGAAAATTGGGAGCACCACAGCGTTAAACTGCCTATATGTTCATGTTAAGCTCTGCCTTAATTGTTTGTTAAAGAATTTCCCTATTATTCTGGCCTCATGGAATAATGCCTTTCACATCTAACACATTTTTTGTACTGTGGCAGCCCTGAATCTGCACGGTGGCCTACTGTTGGAAGATATCGGGTGGATATAGCTTCTTTTGATAATGTAGCTTTGCCTGAGTTGCAGGTAACTTGCACTGTCCTACCTCTTCTGTCGGGAGAAAATGAGTTTTTTTTTTTTTTTTTTTTTTTTCCCAAGACTACTTCAAATGCGATATAACTATCCAGTGAAATTCTCATTACACGATATAATAAGCCTTACAAAGTTGCTGCTTGGATTATTCGTGTAATACTTGTGTGAAAAATTGAAATTACATCTAGTATATTATTGCTGAATATTTGACTGGTTTAAAGTGTTTTAAATCTGTTTTTTTCATAAAATCTTGACGGAGGGAATTTCCTATCTTATTTCTGATTAATCATAATAGGTAGCCTTGTATTTCAAGTGCTGACTCTGAAACCGTTTTTAGGTTTAATTTTAAAAAAAATTTACTCAGTAACAGAGTATCTTATGATAACAGCAACCACAACTATCCGTAATTACCTTTTGTTATTTGTTTAGTGATTTATCTGCGTCATCCAAATTTTGACAGCCAAAATGTGTCTTGCCAGATTAAAGAAGATACAGACCTGTTTGTTATCGATGAAGTTGGTAAGATGGAGCTGTATAGTTCATCATTCTTTCCTGCAGTCTTGAACCTCTTGAACTCCAATATCCCTCTCTTGGCTACAATACCAATCGCAAGACATGGCCGAGATATACCCGGAGGTATGGTAGCTAGTGACTTAAGCTTCTTTGTTCTCTGACGAGTCATACTGTCATTTATGTACTCTTAATTCGTTCTATATGTGTTATCATCGGCTTTCGACATTCAAAGTTGCTTTCATGAAATTTGCAAATCCTTTACGTTGTTATTGACATGTATGCAGTTGCAAGGCTGAGAAACCATCCGGGGGCAATCATCTACACGCTCGACCCTAATAACAGGGATACATATAGGGAAAGGGTTTACTCTCACTTGGTTGATCTATTCGCTAAGAATTAGAAGTTGCAGACTTGGTGATGTCTTTGGGGATCAAAAATGGTGTTGAAATGAAAGCTCCAATTTGTTCTTTGTTTTATTTTCTTGGTGGTGTGTTCAATTTTTAATCCTTTGATTATAGTCCTTACTGATGGTGTATGTTGTTTATATGAAAAAAGATTTGAGAATGCATTATAGGGATAATAAACGTCAAACTAAAGAAATAGAGGTTGTAAATTCTTCAAATCCGTATTATTAAAGCAATGTATGTATAAACAAGAGACATAAGAAGCGTTAACACTCAACTTTTAGGGATTGTTTGGCATCATTTTTTGTTTTCGGTTTTCTGTTTTTTTAAAATAAAAAACCAAAAAGGTGTTTTCACTTTTTTGTTGTCAGTTTTCAAAATTATTATGGTTTTAATAAGCTTAACTGATTTTTGATTCATTATATGAAATCTATCTTATAATTTTGAAAAATAAAAAAACCAAAAAACAAAAACCCACAACGATGCCAAAAGAGTCCTAGCTATGTCATACCATGCTAAGCTTGGTCTAGGGGGAAAGATTAAGGTTATGGGTTCAATGATTTCAATTCAAAAAAAAAAACTCTTAGATATGTCATATTGTATGGCATGTCACAAACTCATGTTATTAATTATTATGCCATATTGCCACACCCTCATTTATGTTATAAGAAAAATTACTAACTCCGTTTTTATTATCTGCAACAACCGTACCGGTTGCGGAGGCCAAGGTAAAAGTTCCTAAGCATGATTATTGAAATACAAGGGCATGTACTTAAGCACTAATCCAATTAAAAAAAAAACAAAAATTTATCAAACCACTTATATCCAGAATCACCACCACCACCGAATCCACCGTAAACCACCACCACCGAGCCCACCGTAAACCACCACCCAGCCACCATCACCACCACGAACCCAGTCACCACCACCACCACGAACCCAGACCCACGCCACCCCACGAACCCAACCCACACCACCCCTGCAAAACAACCAGCGCCATCCAGCCACCACCACGAACCAGACCCACGCTACCCCACGACACCAAACCCACACAACCACCACCACGAACCAGACGAACCCACCCCAAAACCACCACCTCCAACCGGAAAAAATCTAACACCATGAATCCCGCCCCTAAAAAAACCAACCCAAAGATACAAATGAAAAACCATTACCTTCTCTATCATCAATTAAAGCTTTATTTGGTCAAATTTAACCATTAAAATTCTAGATCTAGAATTTTCATGGTTAAATTTGACCATAAAACCTTCAAATTTGAGCTTTAGTGACAAGACTGAAACAAAAGGAGAAGGAAGAGAGAGAAAGCGGAGACGACGACGACAAGCATGACACTTATAGGGCGACTTCCGGCAAAGGTGGTGGTTGAATTTGAGGGGAGATGAACAAAGAGAGGGGGAATTTATGGGTAGATGTAGATAGAGTGGAGATCGGTACGGTGGTAGTAGTGGTGAACTGGTGGTGGTGTTTGCCATTGAAGGTGATGGTTGAAGGAGATGGTGAGAAATAAGTGAGAATGAATATACAAGGGTTGATTGGGGTTATTAATCATAGTTAGATTGTAGGTTAGAATATAATCAGTTTTTTTTAAGGGTAATATGATAATTTTACCATTACTAAACTTACTATAAAAGGAAAAAAAACTTGTTGCAAATAATATGAAACACTCACTTTTAGTAATTGTTGCAAATAATAAAAAACGGAGGAAGTATAAATAATAATCTCAACTTTGCCGTATTTTATTACAATAATCCAAACTTTGGATTATTCTGGAATAATCCGAACTTTGGGGCTGTTGATTTTCTTCAGAAAACCCTTGACGCCGACCACCAGCCACGAAATCGGACAGCCACTCCATGACGCCGGCCGGTCGGCCAAATGCGCTGGTTTTCCCCTGGAAAACCCCTTACCACCGTCTCCAACCCTTTCCCCTTCTCTCGTTGTCTAATTGCCCCAACCACGAAACCCCTTTTCATTTTCTCTCTACTCTCAATTGCCCCAACCACGAAATTCGGCCACTTGTACGCCGGCCGCTCGCGAAACTCCCTTGAAACCCTTCCTCTACTCTCGAAAACACCTAAACCACCTCCGAAACTTCCGTTTTTGTGGCTGGAGACTACGATTTTAGGGTTTCGTGGCTACGATTTTGGGGTTTCGGTGGCTACGTGCGGGAATGGGAGGGGGTTTCGGGGAGGGAGGAAAACAGCGACGCAAGGGGTGGGGGAGACGCGGCGGTTCGACGAAGGAAGGGGCGACGGGTGTGGCTGTGATGGTGGATGTTAGGGTGGACCAATGGGGGAAGTTGATTGGTTTTCGTTTTTTTTTAAATTTTTTTGGACCAATCAGGACTTAACACGTGTATGTCAAGCCTTATATAATAGGTCATTGACTTTTGTTGACCGATTAGAGATTGAAGAAAATCAACAGCCCCCAAAATTCAGATTAATCTAGAATAATCCAAAGTTGGGATTATTGAAACAAAATACGTAAAAGTTGGGATTATTATTTCTTATTTTTCCTATGTTATATTCACATATGTTAATTCCAGAAATGAAAACCCCAATCATTCGAAATTGTTGTTATATTGGTTTAATTTTATTAAAAAAAACAATTAATTAATATCGCAATGAATGTCAACTTGATAAAATTTAATTTCAAAATTAGTATTATCAAACTTGAAATTATGAAAATTATAGCATTTAATTTGCAAACATCTAGTGTAAAGTCATAATTGATTTTAACTCCAAATTCATCCAACAAACTTTAACTCGGACGTTTTAGGAAACTAAGCTTCCCGAAGAAAATAATTACAAATTTGGTTGCGTGGCAAAAGTATTTACAAAAATAAGCTTCTGGGGTAAACCGCTGCCTCGGGCAGCGTTTTACCCTCTATTTTTTTTAAAAAAAATTCTGCTACAAAAACGCTGCCCCAGGCAGCGTTTTTATAGTTTGACTTTTTTTTTCCTCGTTTATTTTTTTTTAAAATTAATTAAAAAAAAAGGCAACAGCATAAAACGCTGCCCCAGGCAGCGTCTTATGCTTAAACATAAGACGCTGCCCCAGGCAGCGTCTTATCTTGTTAATGAAACGCTGCCCCAGGCAGCGTTTCTGTCTGGTTGTAAAACCAGAAACTCGAGCTTCGTTTTCAATCACGTTTGCTCTTCATTCCTTCGCCTCCTTCGCAATCCTCTTCCTTCCCTTCCCAAATTTCCTCTTCAATCCTCTTCAACCCAATTTCGTATTACATCCAATTCAAGGTATGGTTAAATATTAGTTGAGTATTTACAAATTGTTCGTTATGTTTGTTGAATTCTTGAATTGTTGGTTAGTGTTGTTGAATTATTGAATTGTTGGATATTGTTGTTGAATTGTTGGTTAGTGTTGTTGAATTCATGAATTGTTGGTTAGTGTTGTTGAATTGTTGGTTAGTGTTGTTGAATTATTGGTTATTGTTGAATTTCTTGAATTGTTGAATTTCTAGGGTTTATGTTGAATTTCTAGGGTTTATGTCGAAGCATATAATCGCCGATTGCATATTTACCAGGTCACAACTGAAAGGGGGGAGCGATTTGGTTGCAAGGGAGGTCATAAGCATACGGTTAACTTTCAACTTCTGACGTGTACGTGCAACAAACCGAAGATATTCCATCTCCCATGTTCTCACGTTCTAGCCGTTTGTGCGACGTACTCATTGTCAGAGCGTCCATGGGTAGACCCTTCGCTTCAATCAAAGGCCTACACCGACACGTATGCAGCCCAATTCTGGCCTATCCCCTGTGAGACAACTTGGGAGCAGTACGTCGGCCCGAAGATCATTGCCGACAGCAGCATGGTTCGTGGGAGAGGGCGACCGAGGTCAAAACGCATACGCAACGAAATGGATGAGACTAACCGGCCACCCACCAGATGCAGCAGATGCCATCAGCAAGGTCACAACAGGACAACGTGTCCAGCCAGAACGACGTAGAACATTACTTTTGAGTTGTTATTTGGTTTGCTGTAACAGATAAAACAATAACATTTGCTGTAACAGATAATACTTGTTAAATCATATTTGTGTTAGCTTGGCTACGAGAGACCTTTGGCGAGCTTCATCACGGTGCTGATGACGCCGCCGTTCAGAGACACGCCCGAGCTTACTTGTTCTTCTTGGTCGCTTCCTAGATCAATTGCCCCGGATAGATGAATCGGGATAGTGTTAGCTTAGTTATTTCATGTAGTAAAATTTTTGTATAGATTAGGTATATAACATTTACATTTCTAATATAATAAATGTTTTTCGGTCAACATTTGTGTGTTATGTTCTTTGTTTCCCAATATGTTTTGATTTATGTATATATTGACTTGTCAACGTTGGTGGTGGAAGGTAGTGGTGTGAGGTGGAAGGTTGTTGGAGGTGGTGGTGGTGGAAGGTTGTTGGAGGTGGTGGTGGACGGTTGTTGGAAGGTGGTTGTGGTGGTGGGAGGTCGGGGTGGAAGGTGGTGGACGGCGGTGGAGGAAGGTGGTGGAAGGCGGTGGAAGCCGGTGGAAGGCGGTGGTGGAAGGTGATGGTTGGAGGTGGTGGTGGAAGGTGGTGGTTGGAGGTGGTGGAAGGCGGTGGTGGTGGAAGGCGGTGGTGGTGGAAGGTGGAAGGTGGTGGAGGTGATGGTTGGAGGTGGTGGAGGGCGGTGGTGGAAAGGGGTTGGAGGTGGTGGAAGGTGGTGGTGGTGGTGGAAGGCGGTGGTGGTGGAGGGCGGTAGTGGAAAGGGGTTGGAGGTGGTGGAAGGAGGTTGGGGGTGGTGTTGGAAGGATGTTGAGGGTTGGGGCAAGAAACTGGTTTGGTGCTGCCAACCAGGTAAAACGCTGCCTGGGGCAGCGTTTTACCTGTAAACATATACAGATAAAACGCTGCCCCAGGCAGCGTCTTATGTTCAAGCATAAGACGCTGCCTGGGCCAACGTCTTATGTTTAAGCATAAGACGCTGCCTGGGGCAGCGTTTTATGCTGTTGCCTTTTTTTTTAATTAATTTTTAAAAAAAATAAACGAGGAAAAAAAAAAGTCAAACTATAAAAACGCTACCTGGGGCAGCGTTTTTGTAGCAGAATTTTTTTTTTTAAAAAAAATAGAAAGTAAAACGCTGCCCGAGGCAGCGGTTTACCCCACAAGCTTATTTTTGTAAATACTTTTGCCACGCAACCATTTTTGTAATTACTTTCGTAACGAAGCTTAGTTTCCTAAAACGTCCCTTTAACTCTAACTCATCACTACTGACTACTGAATAGCAGGTAATT